GTCTGTTGTTGAACCACAGGGAGACTTTCATAGTCACAGAGACTTTTTTTCCCCCCTCGAACGGCTGGTCGCACCGGTGCGACCTCAGATTTTTTTTAGTCGCACCATTGAGAAATTAGGTCGCACTCTAGAGCCCTGCTTTTATATCACTTCCGGCATCTGTCATACGCGGAAGCAGTTCTGGCGAATGGCGTAGGTCGTCGGCGTTGCGTGATTAGGGACAAGCACAGAGAGAGAACAAAACAAAACACCGGTCGTGAATTAGAAGTACAAACCCAAGCCAAGAGGAGACTGGTTTTCCTTTGCTAAAGTAAGGAAACTTTGCTCCTGTAAACAAACTCGTGAGACTTGCATATTCTCAGAAGCGCGTGACGCATGCGTCCTACGTCATCCGCCGGAACTGTCAGAGGAAAGTGTTTATTACGTTTGAAATATGGATATTTTTCTCACAAAAACGCATGGAATCGCTACAAGAGGCCTTTATTCATTCCCCGGAGCCATGTGAAGCACGATTTATTATGGATGCGCGCACTTTATTTGACGTGTTTAGGACTGTTAAAGGGGTCCTATTATGCTTTTTCACTTTTTAAATTTTATCACTTGTAACGAGATGATCTGAATCAGGTGTGTTAACAAAGAAGAGACGTGCAAAACATGCAGAGCGGGGGTACGCGAGGACTGGGATTGAGAACCGCTGGTCTAGAACAATTCTTACAAGTATAACACGACGTAGCTGGGCGCCGCGGACAGATGCCGAACGGCGCCGCCTGTGTACCTACACTCGTAGAAAATAATGTATTTGAATGTTAACGATGTGGCGCAACGTTGCGCTTCTTGTCCTGTGTGCGACCGCCTGAAACACTGTATTTTTTTTTTTCACTTCCGAAAGCGGATGATGTCAGGAAACAGTGGTTGCAATTTACTTTTTAACTCTGTTCCTGAGCATTATAACCACAATTTGCTATTGTGTGCTGCGCATTTTACTGAAGACAGCTGCCACATCACGAGTGAGTAGTGCCGGATTCGCCAAAAGCTTTTGTTGAAAGACGGAGCAAGGGGGCGGTGCAGTACTGAAACACCGTCTAAGCTGTTCGCCAATCACAACGCACTGGGACAGCTAACCAATCACAACACATTTAGTTTTTCGGAAGGCGGACCTTCATCAAAGCCGGAACTAATCGAGCCGTTTGTGCCAGCCTGGGGAGAGAGGTATTGTAATAATGTAAATTATGTGAAAAATAATGCATTTTTCGAACCACCAAGCATGAGAGCATGTTCTAGTACACCCCCAAAACAAAATCAAGACTTTGTGAAAGAGCATAATAGGACCCCTTTAAAGAGAAACACCCGCTGGCTGCAATGATAACGCTTGGAATAGCCAGGATAATTTTTTATATAACTCCGACTGGATTTGTCTGAAAGAAGAAAGTCATATACACCTAGGATGGCTCGAGGGTGAGTAAAACACAGGCTAATTTTCATTTTTGGGTGAACTAACCCTTTAAAGTGATAAAAAATCTCTGTATTTAAAAAATGTATTTAGTCACCACTTGTAGTACACTTGAGTTATTATTAATAATAATATTAATATTATTATTTTATAGCCATATTATTCATATTATTTTATAGCTATATTGATGTATAATAAAAAAATTAGCCAAATTTTGCAGCCCTACAAGCACAGCAAACTTTGAGGAAATTTTTTTTTATTGCACTTTTAAACCACATTTTTTCATCAGAAAAAGTTTGTCTAGATTGTGTAAATATATTTAATTAAATATATATAAAATAATATAATTATTTTGGTGTTGCAAGTTGTAGTATGATCTCCTTGATTGTAACAGAACCCTTTCATTTCCTGTGTCATTAATACACCAGCTGCAAAATTGGCAAAGAAGTGATCTTTCAGGAGCTGATATAGTATGTATGGTTCAGATCATGAATACTGAAGATAAAGGGCTTTCTAGTAATTCAGTAAAGTTTGGGAGGGAGTGTTTTATTCAAGCTAATCTGATGTGGCACACGTCCAATGGGTATTTCTCACAGGAAGACACGGTCTTTAAGGGACTGTTATTTTAAGATGTTTGTGCTGTGTTTCTCATTTCCGTTGCTAGGTTTATTCCATGCTTTTGTGTTCTGGTTGCTGTAGTGTTTACGCATGACTTGTGCCAAACTCAGTGAGAGTGAGAGAGATGGATATTATAGTAATCATATTTTCAAAATGTAATCAAATGAAAATTAAACAATTCCTTTTATTTTTTGGCAAACAAAGTGCTGCACAAGAGTTTTACTGTTAAAATTAGATATTATAGTTAGTCGCATATGCGAGTGATTTACTCGCAATGTAGAGAGTTGCATTTATAGTTTAGTTTTCTTCGTGTTTTTCTGATAAAGACTTAAAGGCAGAGTAAGCGATTTCTGGTAGCCAATGTTGATATTTGAAATCACCAAAACAAACACGCCCCTACCCCAAGAGGGTCTTGCCCCTATTTTGATAGCTCCGCCCCACATATACGTACGCAACCCAGACAACAATTAGTTCTGTGAAACAAAGCAAAACCAATGTTACACCGTGTCTACGGACGTGAGCGGCGCGGCGCAACAAATCCCCGACAGAAAACTGCTGCCGGGTTCTATTGATGACGTGCTGACACAAATTTCGAATGGTTTTCAACGGTCGGATCGCAGGCCTCCGCTCCTCGAGTTCTCTCCAGCGCTGGAAAGCTGATCCGATATTTACACGGGTCCTACTTCTTGCCTTATCGTTCCTCAGACGTTTTCCTCTTTAGTTTTTTTATCCGCCATCTCTATGTCCGTCCTGTGCACTGAACGCGCTCTCCTCCACGTCACGAGTAGACACACCCCTTATTGCTGATTGGCTACAAGTTTGTTTTGCGATTCGGCCCGAATCAGTTTTCTAAAGTGTTTTTGAAAAATCACATACCCTGCCTTTAATAATGAGTGTAAATGATATGCATTAATATCATTTAGTTAATATCAAATAGTTGTATTTTATATTTAATCTATCTGTATTTATGTTCTACTGTTAGTGTTATCTGTATGCACCAAGGGTCTGAGAGTAACGCAATTTCAATTCTCTGTGTGTATGTGCTGTACATGTGGAAGAATTGACAATAAAGCAGACTTGACTTGACTTGACTTGAACTCAGAAAATGCTTGTTTTTTTTACCGCTGCTTTTCAGGGATCATGAACGTCCTGTTAGGGTTCAGTGATGTTTAGATCTAGTAGCTGGCAGGCCATTAAACATATTAAACTTCATCCTGATGTTTATAAAAGCACTCTTCAGTTTGTTTAGCAGTGTGTTTGAGAGTGTTATCCTAGAGCAGGGATTCCCAAATGTTTTGTCAGCTGAACTCCTTAACTCCATAAAATATTTACTTGAAAGCTTTGACTACACATTAACATGTTCTTGATTTTCTGATGTTTGGGTAATGCTAACATGACATGCAGGGAGTTCACAGCAAATCATCTCACATTAAATACCTCATTCATTCATTTAGAGCTTTTTATCTTTCTTCATCTTCTCTAGCCAAAATTAATATGAATTTTGTTTAAACCAAGGCCGCCGCCTTGAATCGAGTCAGATTTATTGAGGCAGACAGGTTTGTGGGCAGTTGTCATCTTCTCAACAATTTCTCCTATGTCTTTGACGGAGGCCTGTATCTCCTGTAGAGTTGCCCTAGGCCTCTTTTGTGACCTCCCTTACTGCAACGCCCAGTTTTAAGGGCCAGGCGATTTTGGGCAGGTGCACCACTCACATTTGGCACCTGTAATTATAGCGTCAGAGAGCTTTAAATTATTGCTTTGAAAAGTTCATAACTTTCCTTCATTTCTTGGAATGTTCCCAGGTCATTCAAATTCAAAATTTCTCTTTCTTTTTTTTTAAACAAATGCGCTCAAACGGAAAGGATTCACAGTGGATTCTTCTTTTTTTGTTACTACTGACTGCAGGTGTCTCAAGATTAAACTTGTAAATATGAGCAACTGCAATCCACAGGTTGTACCATGTGACTAGTTTGTGCAGCCTGTCTGAATGTTATATATTTACATATATATTTACATGTTTTTTTCGCCCTGCAGCTCAAGTTACTCGACCGCAGCCCTTGAGTTTGAGAAGGAGCATCAAATCAATCCCGTGTACGACTCGCCCAGAATGTCTCGCCGTAGTTTGAGGCTACAGACCAGCAGTGGTTTTTATGGTGACAACAGCCTCACTGAGTGCACAGGCATTCACAGTGTCGGCTCCTACAAGCAGACCAGCACCAGCACCGCCACCAGCAGCAGCAGCGTCAGCAGGTCAGGTCTTCTTCTCTCTGTCGGTGTAAGATAACAAACCAAGGGTGCAACATTACCTCTTATCGAGAAACCCACACAGCCTCGTGCCAGCACTTCTACGTGAGATGAGCGGCATGTTTTTGTCATAATAATTTGAAAATTTTAACTTTTAAAACTGTTAAGCCGATGTGTCTTGTTACTGTGGACATCTTTGCTTCAAGGGAAGGAGGGTATCTTAAATTAGTAGTGACAGTCAGCATCTCAACTGGTTGTGCTGCTGTAATGACTGACATGTTGGTGCTTGAGTAAAGTGAATTGAAGAAAAATTAATGACATGGTGAAAATACCATCTTTCCAGCCTTAAAAAAATTCCCCAAAAATATGTTTGTGCGATCAGCCTGGCAGCGTATATTTTACATGACTTACAGCAAGTTTGTACAACTTGCGTGTCAATGCTTAATCATGGGCCATTAAACTGACGCAGTGTAAGCATGTAAGTATAGTAGTATTAGTATTTTTGCAAGTAGTATTTTGTCTTTTAGTGTATAATTTTAAGCAGAGTGGACAGCATTTTTAAAAAGAAATTAATACTTTTTAACAAATCAGCATATTAAAATGATTCCTGAGGAATCATGTGACACTGAAGACTGCGGTAATGATGCTGAAAATTCAGCTGCGCAGCACAAGAATAAATTACATATTAAATCCTAATAGGTTTTAAAATAGAAAACAGATATTTTAGATTGTGACATTATTTCGTAATTTTTTTTAACTTTTACTGTATGTTTGATCAAATAAATGGAGCCTTGGTGAGCATGAGAGGCCTCTTTCAAAAACATTTAAAAAAGCCTTACTGATCTACTGAAACCTTACTCTTTTCAAAAGTACTGTATATATAAATGAACTGAATTCCTTCTATTAGCAAAAAGTTACTCCGTGATCATGTGTTCTTAAATGGCACATCCTCATGATTCAATTAAATCCTAATAGGTTTTAAAATAGAAAACAGATATTTTAGATTGTGACATTATTTCGTAATTTTTTTTAATTTTTACTGTATGTTTGATCAAATAAATGGAGCCTTGGTGAGCATGAGAGGCCTCTTTCAAAAACATTTTAAAAAGCCTTACTGATCTACTGAAACCTTACTCTTTTCAAAAGTACTGTTTATATAAATGAACTGAATTCCTTCTATTAGCAAAAATTTACTCCGTGATCATGTGTTCTTAAATGGCACATCCTCATGATTCATTATGAATGAAACCTAGCATCATTTATAAGATCTTAACTGGGATTTCAAAAATCTAATTTCTCTAGCACTTGCAAAAGCTATTAGAGGAAAATACTCCTTACTTCATAAATATTCCTTATTTTCATGCACCAAATGGGGAAAAATTGCACAATTTTAAACAAATTGCTATTAGGTGACTGCAACATATGGCTGTATATAGGGTGTACTACCAGTGCATACTCGCTTTCAAATGTAATTGACCTGCTGTATTTTTCCCCCCAGGTCTGTGCGGAGCAGGAGGCAGCAGCAGGGCTCATCCGTGTACGAATCTGAGAGCGTGTCTCAGAGCGTGACTCAGACTCCTCAGAAAGACCAGACCCTGTCAGACCTGAGTTTCACCAGTACAGCCAGTGATGCATCTCTGATCTCCAGCCTGCTGGATCAGTCCACTCTCAGAGAGAGCTCCAGGACACACACATATTCTGGTCAGCAGCCTCTCACGAACATGAAGTCAAAACTAACCCGGTAAAATGTACTCACCCTCAGGCCATCCAGGATGTAGCTGAGTTTGTTTCTTCATCGGAAGAGTTTTGGAGAAATTTTGCATTACATGACTTGCTCACCAATGGATCCTCTGCAGTGAATGGGTGCCGTCAAACAGCTCATAAAAGATTTCTCCAAATCTTTTCTGATGAAGAAACAAACTCATCTACATCTTGAGCATCCTGTGGTTTAGTGCAGTTTTGGGTGAAGAACTGCCTTAATCAGTGCTTATTTTTTCAAAAGTTTGTCTTTGCAATCTTTCATGAAAACTTGCAGATTTTCAAATGTAATTGGTGTCATTTTAGGCAAATGTCACACTGTAGCTATTGCTTATTTAATCCTGACTGTTTAAACTATGAAACTATGCATAAACAACAGTTTTTGCTGGAAACTCAAGTTTATGTTTAAGTTAACGGAGTAAACAGCTCTCATTCTGGCTCGGAACTGTAGATCAGGGCAGGTTATAATCAGTCCTTTGTAAATAACATCAGGTTGAAGGGTGAACTTTGACTCTTTTTATTAATCTATTTGTTTGTTTGTTTTCTTAATGTTGTGTTCAGCACAGAGAAGAAGAACTGCTCACAGCTCTCTGTTGGAGAATGGAGACACCAGTAAAACAGAGGTGCACACTAATCTGGCTAACGGCTATATTTGTAAGGACTGCTCGTTCCACGCAGACGGGAAGGAGGATGAAATGGCATGTTCCTTACCGTACTCGACATCTGTATCTTCAGCGTATCAGACAGCTGCAGACGCCACTATGACCACTTCTCTGAACAGTGTTGGCAAGACAGGTGAGGACATGATCAAGTCAAGTCGCAAAAATCGCCTCTCCATAATTCAAAACACTTCATTGTTTGAGTAGTTTACCCAAAAAAGAAGAAAAGTTTGCTTTTTCATCATAACAGATTTGGAGAAATGTAGCATTGCATCACTTGCTCAGCACTGGATCCTCTGCAGTGAGTGGGTGCCATCAGAATGAGAGTCCAAACAGCTGATAAAAACATCACAATAAGCCACAAGTACTCCACACCACTCCGGTCCATCAACTAACATCTTGTGAAGTGAAAAGCAGCAGTTTATAAGGAACAAATCCATCATTAAGACTTTTGTTTACTTAATACCCTTGCTTCCTGCTGAAATATGATTCCTCGATCCATGATAATGCTTTCTCCAGTGAAAAAGTTATCTTTCTGAATCGGAAGATAAATCTGCACAGATCCAGCGCTGTTTACAAGCCAAAACAGCTCTTTGCAAATATGTGGGTGGATTTTGATATGAGAGGACAACAGAAGATGGACTTTTTCACTGGAGGAAGTGTTATGGATTTTGGACTTTTTTTTTGGCCAGAAGCAACAGTTTAAAGTTAAAACACCTTAATGATGGATTTGTTTCTTACAAACATGCAAATTTTCACTTTTTAACTGATGGACTGGAGTGTTGTGGATTATTGGGATGTTTTTATCAGCTGTTTGGTCTCTCATTCTGACGGCACCCATTCACTGCAGAGGATCCATTGATGATGTAAAGTGATGTAGTGCTACATTTCTCTAAATCTGAAAACTCATCTACATCTTGGATGGCCTGAGGGTGAGTAAATGTTCAGCAAATTTTCAATTTTGGAGAACTATTTCTTTAACCCTCATATTGTGTTTTTGTTTCAATAATTTGTTTAACATCTTTATTTTTGTTTCACCATGAATATTTGAAGCAGAGAAAGGCATCTTAAATGTAGAAGGAAATAATCTCCCATTTTCAATTTGGAAATATTTCCAGTTGCAGGGATTAAAGTGGTCCGTCGCTACGATGGATTTCCATCAGTTCATAAAGACAGTCACTTGCTTCATTCCTGAATGATTCAGTCGTTCGAATTAATCAATTGAATGAATGATTCAGTGATAAAATCAGTGACTTGCTGTCACCTGCGGGTGGATTTAGTTTCATTTTTATCGTATAATTTCAGTTATTTAAATTTAATATTTCTGTATTCAAAATTTTATATTTAAAACATTAATCTCCACATGAATTTATGAATTTATTTGCTCTCATGCTACCTCTGAGTCTCATTAAACGTCTGAAAATGTACCTACAAGCCACTTTTGCGTTCTTCTGTGCCACCTCTGTAGTACAAATGATTTTTTTATTTTTCATATGATTTGTAACTTACTTGTCTTATTCTACTTATTATATTGTTTTAAATAGAAATTTTAAAAAGCCAAAGGAGCACTTTAAGGAGTCAAATGTCACCTCGTATTAGGAAGGCAAATTTTTTATCAGAATTTTTGATTATTGATCAGAAAGTAATCCTAAACATTTAAATTAAGAGGACAAGCACTCCTGACTGAAATGATATGCTAAAAATGAAACTAAATCCACCAGCAGGTGGCGGCAAGTCACTGATTTTATCACTGAATCATTCATTCAATTGATTTGTTCGAACGGCTGAATCATTCAGGAATGAAGCAACTGTCTTTATGAACTGACAGAAATCCTTTGTAGCGACGGAAGGGAACACTTTAATCCCTGCAGTTGCAATGTGTGTAATTTTTTTAAATATATATATATATATATATGCAAATTCATGCCCAGTCGCTTTTTGTGAAATAAAATGAAAAGCATGCTCAAATTTTAGATGAGCAAATGCTTATTTGCTCTGTGTGTGTTTCAGCTCATGACAGCTACTGTGGCAGTGTGAACGTGCGAGATCTGGTGACCACAGACAGCCATCTCAATCTCAGCGGCTCACTCTGTAAGTACACACAAGATACGTAAACAATGCTTCAGTGCAAAAGCAACCACAGCTACAGAAAGCACTACAGCTAATGAACTATTATAACATATGACATTGACGTTTGTGTGGCTAAACATATTTTAGTAGTGAATCAGCATCAACAGAAGTCTAGATTGCATTTTGTCACTTTCAAAGTGGTCTCTTTAGCTGTTCACTGATTTTATCACTGAATCATTCATTCAATTGATTTGTTCGAACGGCTGAATCATTCAGGAATGAAGCAACTGTCTTTATGAACTGACAGAAATCCTTTGTAGCGACGGAAGGGAACACTTTAATCCCTGCAGTTGCAATGTGTGTAATTTTTTTAAATATATATATATATATATATGCAAATTCATGCCCAGTCGCTTTTTGTGAAATAAAATGAAAAGCATGCTCAAATTTTAGATGAGCAAATGCTTATTTGCTCTGTGTGTGTTTCAGCTCATGACAGCTACTGTGGCAGTGTGAACGTGCGAGATCTGGTGACCACAGACAGCCATCTCAATCTCAGCGGCTCACTCTGTAAGTACACACAAGATACGTAAACAATGCTTCAGTGCAAAAGCAACCACAGCTACAGAAAGCACTACAGCTAATGAACTATTATAACATATGACATTGACGTTTGTGTGGCTAAACATATTTTAGTAGTGAATCAGCATCAACAGAAGTCTAGATTGCATTTTGTCACTTTCAAAGTGGTCTCTTTAGCTGTTCTACAAGTCTGTCAGGTGAAGCAACCTATATTTGGTCTCATTAGGTTATAATCCATCATTCTCAGAGGTTGAGAAAGAGTTAAGTGAACCACATGCTTATTTGAGTGCATTTCCATGTTGATGAGCACTGAACTCCAGTTTGTGTTTTTGTATGGCTAGTTTAAGTGAAGAACCTAAGCCTGATGGTCAACAGAGAATGTGATTGGCCCATTCTGAATGACATTCTGAGAGTTTAAGGTTGACAAATGATGTTGTTAAACCGAACCACACATGGGAATTCAAGAGTCTGGGACATTGGATGTAACAACAGTCTAAAGTTGACACTTGAGCTATTTGTGATGTTTTTATGTTGCCTTCCTGGCCATATATCTTAGTCTTTTTTTATTTACATGATGGACGTTATATTATCAGTCATTTTGAATGTATTATTTTATAGATTCAGATTTTAATTTACTGTACTTCTCAAAAGTTTGGGATTGGTAAGATGTTTTGGAAAGAGGTCTCATCAAGGCTGCATTTATTTGATCAAAAATAGACAAACTTTAATATTGTGAAATATTATTGCAATTTAAAATAACCGCTCTTATTATCAATGTTGAAAACTTGCTGCTCAATATTTTTGTGGAAACTGTCAAGCATTTTTTTTCAAGATTCTTTGCATAGAACTTCAAAAGAACAGCATTTATTTGAAATTCAAATCTTTTGTAAGATTCTAAATGTCTTTACGGTCACTTTAAATCAGTTTAATGCATCCTTGCTGAATAAAAGTATTAATGAATTTTAAAATATATATATTTTACTGACCCCAAACTTTTGAACGGCAGTGTATTATTTAGAATTTATTATTTTATGAATGTATGTTCTAGACTTCATTCATCTGCTTTGTATTGCTTCCATGAATGTACTGTGGTAAAACTGTGAAAACACATCTTTGTTGATGTTGTCGTCCCTGCTGATTTTCAGGTGATGACTGTAAAGGAAAACAGCACATGGAAATGCACACGGAGCACAATTCCTACACCCACCATGTATACGCAGCCTTGTGGGCCCTTGTTTCTTACACAGGTTATACACCTTCAGATCTTTACACACCTTCCCAGTAGACGGCAACTTCAGTGTCTCATTCCAGTAGAGATACCTTTGTGTGTCTTTCACGATTTGTGTTTTTCATCCATTTGTTAGCTGAAAGAATATTATGTAAGACACTGAAATGAAAGAGATTGGGGGGGGGGGGGGGTGATTGTGTTCTGTTTTGGCTGTTTTGATGGTACACACCCAGGTTATGGGCTTCTGCGGGTTTGCCGAGGTTTCGGCTCGGCCGGTGTGTTTGTGGCCCGGAAGCTGAAGTCCGTTCTGTGGTTGGCAGTGTGTTCTCCAGGTTGATATAAATTCAGACTCCAGCATGCTTGTCTTTGTCTCTTGCTTTCTCCTTTCCCTCATATCAGTGTGGCTTATTAGACTTTCGCATATATTTGACTTGTTTGTTTTTCAAGCACAGTGAACCCACATCACTTCTGTCTGAAGACTCAACTCATTTTAACCAGCACTTCTTTTCTTAGCTTCTCAGCTGTGGTGGTTCGAGTCCATCCGTCTCTGTTTCTGAATCTTTGACTAATAAATCTCTTCCTTAAATCATTTAAACCTGTCAGTGTGTCACTTGGAGCAACTTTCACTCCATATAACTTCCTCCTCTGCTCTTACACATGTGCTCTGAACAGGGAAAGCAGCAACTGGCGCCTTCTGGTGGCTGGGAACAGGATGGTATCAGCTGGTCACGCTCATGTCTCTGATCAATGTCTTTCTTCTCACCAGGTAAAAATTTAAAGTATTTAATCCTTAATATAAATCTTTTCTTTTGTTGTTTTTTTGTAATGCACTATAATCATGTGATATGCTGGGGGGGTTTTTTTGGTCAGAATGCAAATATTATCACTCATGTTCATATGATAAATGTAGTCTTGAGCGTGTTTTCTCTCTGCCTGTCAGGTGTCTGCCCAAACTACTGAAGCTCCTTCTGTTTCTGCTACCCTTACTGCTGCTGTTCGGTGAGATTTCAGTTGGACTGATTTGTAACACTGCCATTGAAGGAATATTAATGCTTAGTGCTAAAGGAATTCATTTAATTTAAAGGGATAGTTCACCCAAAAATGAAAATTCTGTCATTAATTACTCACCCTCATGTGGTTTCAAACCCGTAAGATCTTCGTTCATCTTCGGAACACAAATTAAGATATTTTTGATGGAATCTGAGAGCTGTCTGACCCTCCCATAGACAGCAACACAACTGATATAAACTGTATAAATGGAAAAAAACACTTTTACAGTGAGTTACATAAGCATGTACTTTTGTTACATGCACTTACATAAGGTAGTCTTTAGTTAAAAAAATAAAATAAAAAATACTTTCAACTTTTTTTTTTTTTTTTGGAGGTGGGGTTACTTTCTCTAAGTGGAAGACCTTTTGCTTAAGCATTACTTGTATACGTGTAGATGGATTTTCTTCATTAAAACGGTCCTTCACAGATAGATACACCCAGTCTCTTCCTGGTATTCTTGTGCTGACACCGGTCAGTAACCGGATTTGCTTGTTTAGCTGATGATGCACGAGTCGAAAGATTAGATATACACTACCAGATTTACACCATCAAATTAAAAAAAATATATAAATTAATACTTTTATTTAGCAAGGATGCATTCAGTTGATTTAAACTGGGGGAAAAAAAGCAAATCAGCATTTTAGAATGAATTCTAAAGGATCATGTGACACGGAAGACTGGGTTAATGCAGGCCCGGTTCTACGGGGTGCAAACGAAATCAATAGCACCCTCAGTTAAAGCTGTAATAGTGGCATTTCATTGCAGATGTGGCAAACTATCCAGTGCATTTGCACTTTGGAGATCGCTTTCTATTTCAACGTGTTTTTACAGCGTTGAGCAGTGTAGCCAATCACAGACATATCTGTTGATTTCTTGAACCCAACAGCCAATCAGAGAGAGAAGTTAGAATCCACTCACCGCTGGAGTTTTTGGTCAGGTGTTGTGGTCCGCACGAGTCATCTCATTATAACTCACTTTGTGAGATCGCGATGAACTAAGATGAGTGACAGCTTTTAGTGAATATAAACGGAGCTGAAATTAAAACTTTATTTTTACCTACTACTTTTTCACAATATTAATGTTTTTTTGCATTTCTGATCCAATAAATGCAGCCCTGGTGAGCATAAGAGACTTTCAACAAAAAAAAAGAAGAAGCTTTTAAAGATCTTACCCACTTTAAACGTTTGACCGGTAATGTAACTTTACACAGAAAAGGGTGCTAAGTGATTCACTAGAGTCGTACTAGTACATGTAATGTTTGCAAGTTAATGTTATACTTCTGTAACAGTGTTATATTTGCATATTTGAAATGTGTACTGACATCGCCGCAGGCTTGCTTGTTAGGCTTCCATTGTAAGTGCGTTACACATTAACAAACACATTTGTCATTTATATTTAAAAAATGAGGGCCATGCGGTAAGCTGTCTGTGGTCATCAAAAGCATGTCACAAAGAGTAGTGTTATACATATGAAGAGTTTTTTACAAAATCAGATAATGCCATTTTCTTCCATTTTCAAAAATCAAGTTTTTTATGATGTTATCATGTTTTTATTGTGTTAGTTAGCTGTATTTTTTAGTTATTTTTTAACCTAATCAAAATTACCCAACTGCAGTTTGATTGAGATTAATTGGAATGCACAATGAAAAAAACACGAGTTTTGAAAATTGTTAAAAATTGAGTTCTCTGTTGTTGTTTTTTCAAATGAACTCTTCATATAGATGTTAAAAAACTCTTAAAATACTTATATGGGAGACTCCAATACTTCTTTTTGAGTCTAATATACAGAGACAAGTTATATTAAAAACAGGCATTGTTGTTGCAATTCATTTTGGTGACACTAGCGGCACAGAAACCGTTGTTACGATCCAAACATTCCTTCACGAAACCACTGGCACTGATGAACAGCCACAATTGTGCAATCAACCATAGTTATAGCCCAGATGGTGTTGCTTATTCTCTTGATTACTTTCACACTTAATCAGGATTGCACAAACACACATTCTCTCTTTCTTTCTCCCTCTTCAAATCCATGATTTGAATTTGCCTGCATAGCACTGAAGTCCCTTCGAAATAACTGAAAAAGTCCCAGTTTTTGTACCAGAAAGTTCATAAACTTCTTATAGCAGGTTCTGATCAAAGACTATGTGATTTTTAGAGACCCTGTCTTTTAAAGTTTCCCTTTCTCTCTGTTTAAAGGATTATGGTACCTCGGTCCGCCCATCGCTCTGTCCTTCCTTCCAGCTGTAAACCTCACAGAGTGGAAAACAGCAGTCACTTCTTTCCCATCACTTCCTCCACTCCCTTCTCTCCCATCTCTTCCCTCTTTCCCCGCATTACCTTCTTTCACTAAAGAACCACTGGCTGACGAACAACACATCTCACCCCCGGTGATCTCACAGGTAACAAACCAAGACCAGTCGGTAGTGTATGATATCTTGTGTGAAATCTGATATTTAATCATTCAGCAAAAATACACCAATTTTAATCAAATTCTGATCTGAATTCTTTCAGGCTGCGTCAGAGTCCATTAACAGCGAGCGTTTGGCTCAGCTGGAGCAGCGTGTGGCGGCGCTGTGGGAAAGCATCCTGCAGGGGGAGCTGAAGGCTAAACAGCAGCATGAGGAGGCCGTTGGTTTGGTTCAGGCCCTTGAGGATCAGATAAACACACAGACAGACCGAGAGAGTCTCAGCCTGTGGGTTTCTCAGCTCTTGGAGCCCAAGTTCACTGCGCTCAAGGGACAGATGGAGAGAGTAGCGGTTAACAGGGCGGAGGTCAGAATGAGTGCTCGTCTTATGTTTTACCCATGGGCGACATTTGACTCTCGAGTCAGGGGGGGGCAAGAAAAAAAAAGAAATCTTTTAGGGATGTAGCCTATGCATCAAAACAATGTGCTACCATATTACAGCGCAGTGAAGAATAACTTAAAGAGGTTGCCTGTGTTTACTAAACTGTGGAACTATGACACTTGCTGCTGATTTGAATGGCGATGCTTCCTGTTTTAAGTGTCAGTTGATGGCTTTTCATTTAACCAGAAATGCGCGCGCTCCTTTTCTGATGTTCATTTAAGTTTGCCGTGTCTTTTTCCCGTGTCACTTGAAATGTGTCCGTTTTGAATCATTGTGGTGAGACACGTGAGGAAAAAATAAACAATCAGTTTATGGGACTGTTCTGTCATAAATCACATACCATTCATTTCTGAACTTTCTACCGTCCGTTACTGGAAATGAAATTACTGGTTAATATGTCCCGATCTCAATAAGTTTACACACGCTTTTAGTCCGTGAACTGGATCTCGCTCAGGACGCGCGCTGTCTGTGGAAGTTTGGCCAGGACCACTTCCAGAGTAAATCACCCAGGGATTTTTGTCCCGTCTATTGCTTATCGCTGATATTTCGAGAATGAATCCAGCATCATTCCCGAAACTTTGCAGCATGTATGTGTCCGAAAAACAAAAGTTTCATTAAAGTTCTGAATGGATAGCCTAGAGAACACACAAAGCACGCTCCCTTTATTATCACTAAAAGAATCACTCAAAGTTCATCGCGATCACAAAGGTCCGTTATAATCAAGCTCTCTAAACTACACAATAAATCTCTTTATTTACATCGCGTCTGCACTCAGTCATGAGATGATTCGCAAGCGTGCAAAACTCCGGCTCTTTCAGCGGTGAGTGAATTCTGAAAACTCAATAATGTTTCTGATTGGCCATTGCGTTGAAGAAATCGACAGATATGTCTTTGATTGGCTACAGTGCTCAATGCTGCAAAAACACGTTAGATAGTTTGCCAGATATTTTAATTGCTTTTGCTTTCGTTTGGTGGTATTTAGCACTGTCTAGTACCCCCGTACAACCGGGCCTGGGCTGACATCGGGGATTACTTGACTGACGATATGCCCCCCCTAATGTCGCCCATGGTTTTACCCTTTAGGTTTAGTGTTCTCTTTTATTTTGTTTTGATCTTTAGTTATTTTCACTTCCAAAGTGATCGCCAGAAAGTTAATATTTTATAGGACTGTCCTGCTATTAATGATATTATTCAACAATTTCTTCTAAGATTTCATTATTAGATGTTTTTCATTAAAAAATATTAAACCGTTATATAGTTATTATAATTTTGGTTTAGAAGGGAAATTGTCTTTTTTTCATTAATTATTTATTTATATATTTTGCCATGACCGTTGCCTTTGAAGCTGATATGGCTTTTAAAATAAATACTAACATAAATAAAAATAAATGTGGAAGCATATTTTATGGGACCATCATGTTTAATGTTATTATCCATCAATTTTATTCAGAAATGTTATTGGTAGATATTTTTTAGATTTTTTTTAAATCTTGGGAAATTTGTCAGTTTCCATCACAACAAAATGAAAGATTTTATGTAGTTATAATGCTGTTCTTTAAGTTTAGTTTAATTGTATTTTTTGACATGAATATATGGATATAAGGTAAACTAAAAATTATAAATACAAAATAATATGGAAGCATATTTTAAAGTCCTGCTTTTAATGTTACTAGGCAATGATTTTTTCCAGAAATTTCATGAATGTTAAATGTTAACAATGTTAAACTACAGTATTTTATCTAGTTGTTATCATAATGTTTTTTACTCTCACGATGTCTTCCAGACTGAGGAACAGCATGTGCAGCATCAGACGAGTCTTGAAGCTCGACTAGCCGAGCTGAAGCTCCTGCTGAAGAACCTGAACTCTAGAACTGAGGTATAAACACACTCTTTTGAGACTTTCAGGTCTTGTTGAAATGACTGAAACCTAGTGCTGGGCGGTATACCGGTTCATACCAAATACCGGTGTTTATTTTTGTTATGATATACATTTTTTTAAATACCGCAATACCGGTGTATGTCGCTTAAACAACGTTCGGAACGCGACACTGTTTGAAAGGGGTCCCTTTTCACTGTTGCACTGTGGTGAGGGAACAGCTGTATGTGTTACTAAGCGTGAAAGTTCTGAAACTGAAGCTGTAGAACTAATAGAATGTGATGATGACACAGAAGAACTCATCCACAATATCCACATTGACTGCCACAAATATCCACCGCCCCCTGCCATCAGCTCCCACGTCTCACACACACACAAGCGCAACTTTAGCACTAGATTTAGCAATTTTCAGACCCTTTTAGCGGCTTTTTCCCATAGAATATTCATACTGACAAACCTAGCGACTTTTTTGGATAAACCTTAGCTATGGTTCAGTTGGAGGATTTCTCCAGTGCTGTCCCGCGAACGCGAGGTCTGACTTTCCCGGACAAGTGTCACCTCTCTCGGCGTCTGTTCTGTGCAGTGAGCGGCAGAGAAGCAGTGCACTCAGTTGGCCGCACCACAGCCGACTCGTCAATAAATGAGTACAAAACAGCGTTTCCTAGCACCTGTTGCTTACTGATTGTTTGGAATTATAAATATAAGCGTAGTTCGTCTGTTAATATCACATGCACTTCTTTGTTTGTTTTAGTTTGTTACTCAGATGCAGGCAGTGTGCTGCATGTTGATTTTATCAGACGATGCCGCGATTATAAATGAGAGTGACTCCTGGTTAACGTGTATTAAAAGGGGTCGTGTTTAGTCACTATTTAGTGTGGTATTTTTTGACAATATTCACTCATCATGACAGTAAAATAGAGCGTTCTATAGTCAATATACTGCAGTATTTCCTCTCTCAATCAGTAGAAAATATGGTTAACACCCGGTCGTGCATAAAAAAAGAAATACCGTCATGTACCGTGAAACCGGTATAATTTTGAAAAATACCGTGATATACATTTCATACCGCCCAGCACTACTGAAACCACAGTTTCGAGATTGTTCTACCATGTCCTCAGACTCCGAAATTATTTGTTGCTTTGCTGATGTTCGTCACTACAGATGATTTAACTTTAAATTCTTCTACGAAATACTATAAAATTGTAACCGATAATACAAAATATTTAAAATGGCCTACACAACTGTTCAAAAGTTTTCAGGAACTTAAAAAATTGAATATTAAATTGTGATGCGATCTAGGAAAACCCGTCAGATGTCGCGCTGGGACGTTTTCAGGAACTTCAAAAATAGGTTGAATGTCAATTGGGTTGTCATTAAATTATTATTCTATAACATCTAGTCTATCATGTCTGAAAATATCTTGCCAAAATCCACTTGTTTAGTGCAGAAAAATAGCGATTTATTGTGGCAAGCAGAAAAGACGGTCTTTCTCAAGTTTGCTAACATGTGCTGCGGAGGTGCTTTCCCTTAACACTACAAAGACAGTTCACCTATCAAAATAAACCATGTAATGTATATAATAAAGGCATTTTCCGCTGTGAACTATGGCATGCAAAGCTTGGGGTAGCTTTAGCTAGTCTGCTTGTGTAATGAAGCAGTATAGAGCCCTTGACAGAGCTCTCGTTCTTAAAGTGACCAGCACCATTTTCATAGTAATGCTATGCATTACTTTCATTTAGTTCAAACGGTGACAGCGTGAAATAAAACTACAAGTTTAGAACCCAAACCTACAAATTACAGTTCTGAACTGTGTCTGGTTATGTTTTATAAATCCAGAGAGTAGTAGAACAGGAGAAGAATTGGAGATTGGAGCCTGCACGCTGTAATCTGTGATGTTTTATGAACAGATATACACTTACTGTTCAAATGTTTGCAAGTGTTGTGTGTTCCTTGGGGTCATTTTGTATCTTTTACAACATGTACAGTGACTAAAATAAGTCTTTTGCCACAGTAAAGTGAAACTTTTACTTGTGATACTTGACTGTTGTGCTTTTATTTTCATTGCCTCTCTTTAAACCAGTGTTTCTCAAATTTCTGTTCCTGAAAATCATGGTGATCAGCCAACTTCAGATAGCCATAACCTTTGTTACGTTCAAGCTATGGATGAAATAAAATGGGTTTTCCTAGATTGCATCACAATTATTATTACAAATTAAAATAACTTTTCTAATTGAATACATTTGAAAATATAATTTATTTCTGTGACGTCTAAGCTGAATTTTCAGCATCATTACTCCAGTCTTCAGTGTCACATGATTCTTCAGAAATATTTCTATTAGCCTGATTTGCTGCTCAAGAAACATTTCTTATTACTGTTAATGTTTTGCTGTCACTTTTGATCAATATAATGTATCCTTGCCTGATTATAAGTACTAATTTATTTTTAGAAATATCTTACTGTTTCTAAAGATTTGAATTGCACGTTCTAGCACCTGTAACTTTTTTTTTTTTTTTATTCTACTCCATCTAATTCTGTCTCAATGTTCTTCTCAATCAAAGGAAATCCATCTAACACAGCAGACTCCAGTACAGGCTCCTGTCAGGTAGACATGCTAATACATCACTAGCTAAAATGGTTGTTTGGGGCTCCTCCTGTCTGAGTGTTAATGTTTGCTCTTGTGTTTCCCACTGCAGTGTTGGAGTCACTCAGGAGAAGCATGATGCTTTGCTCACTGAGGTTCAGAGGCTGGAAGCAGAGCTGGACCGCATCAGAGGAGACCTGCAAGGAGTGATGGGATGTAAAGGGAAGTGTGACCGACTCGATACCATACATGAAACCGTACGTAATGTTTATATACAGCACATAATACATTTATCCTGCTTTTTCACTTATATATATATATATATATATATATATATATATATACAATATAACAAAGAGTGAAAAATTGAAGGGGGTCTGAATACTTTCCGTACCCACTGTATATATATAAAATCGAATATCTTCCCCAGGTGTCAGCGCAGGTGAAGGAACAGTTGTATGCTCTGTTGTACGGTCGTGACGGAGGTGAAGCAGAAATTCCCGAGCCGCTACTGCCGTGGCTGGCATCTCAGTACACACGCTCCTCTGACCTCACCGCGACCCTCATGACCCTGGAGCGCAGCATTCTGGGAAATCTGTCCCTGCAGCTGCAGGAGAGCAAACAGCATCAGTTCTCGGCTGAAACGGTTACTCAGACCGTCGCCCACACCGCCGGGGCTGCTGGGATGTCAGAGGAGGTACTACAACTGTTGTTTTGTTATACACTAGGGTTCAAAAGTTTGGGGTCAGTAAGATATTTTTTTTTTTTAAACAAATTAATACTTTTCTTCAGCAAGGATACATTAAATTGATCAAAAGTGACAATAAAGACATTTATAATGTTACAAAAGATTACCTTTCTATTCTTCAAAGAAGTATCACAGTAAAAATGTATCTCCGTTTCCTCAAAAATATCAAGCACCAAAATGTTTTTTTTACCTTGATAATTATAATAAATGTTTCTTGAGTAGCAAATCAGAATATTAGAATGATTTCTGAAGGATCATGTGACACTGAAGACTGAATGATGCTGAAAATTCAGCTTTGACCACAGGAATAAATTATATCTTAATATATATTAAAAAGGAAAATAGATATTTTTTTAAATGTAATAATATTTCACAATATCAACAGTCTTACTGTATTTTTGATCAAATAAATGCTGCCTTGGTGAACAAAAAATACATCTTTAGAAAAAAAAAAAATGTTTTAATCTTACTGACCCCAAACTTAAAAGGGAAGTGTATACGTCTTGCTCTTTTAAAATGGACTCGCTAATATCACATCTTAACTAAAATGTCAAGTTGATTACACATCAAATGACAAGCAGTCTGTCTGTTACAATATTAACTCTTTCCTTGCCATTGACGAGTTATGTCGTCTTTTACAAGAAAACGCTTCCCCGCCAAATACAAGTTTTTACGGCTTTTCGTGTTTTCACGGTTATACACTCGGGGCTGCAATTACGCATCTTCTGAACGAGTACAAAACCTCCCGAACAAAAACACACGTGAACAGGATGGAGAAACGAGCGATCTCTTATGTAAATGCATATGAAAAATTATGCGATCATCAGCAATAGACAGCAAATAAATGAAAACTGCATAAATGTTACAGAGTAAAGTGTTGATCCAGGAAGTGGCATATGTCTGTGCAAGCTTTGGAGGTATTTGATTTTCTCACCTTTTTGCTCAAAATTAGATTTTTATGTTTAAAAGTAGAGGCTCTGATCTTTATTTTGGTGTATTACGTATTCAAAATGGGAAGTCGTGGCCTAATGGTTAGAGAGTTGGACTCGTAACCCAAAGGTTGTGAGTTCGAGTCTCGTACCGGCAGGGATTGTAGGTGGGGGGAGTGTATGTACAATGCTCTCTCCACCTTCAATACCACGACTGAGGTGCCCTTAAGCAAGGCACTGAACTGAACACTCCCAACTGCTCCCCGGGCGCTGCAGCATAAATGGCTGCCACTGCTCCGGGTGTGTGTTCATGGTGTGAGATAAATGCAGAGCACTAATTCCGAGTATGGGTCACCTTGGTCATACTTGGTCACATGTCACTTCACTTCACTTCAAATATTCATACAGCAAAATATACTGGAGGCCATCAAATTTTAGTGAAAATCATCAAAATCGCTGGCGGTGTCTGGCAACGTTTCTCAAAAATGCTGGCGGGGAAAGAGTTAATGACATCTTATGCAACTGTGAGTAAATTCTGTGAAGAGGAAAGAACAATCAAATGAAAATGCATTTAATGGGCCGTATTTGAGGATTTAACATACCAATGTCATTTAAATCTCTCTTCTAATAACGACCGTGTTTCCCCTCAGCAAGTCCAGCTGATCGTCCAGCATGCGCTGAAGCTGTACTCTGAGGATCGCACCGGACAGGTGGACTACGCTCTGGAGTCTGGAGGTAAGCGCGGCTACAAAACGCATAACCCGTATGAACATCACAAACCCTTTTACATGAGACTGATGTGTGTGCAGGTGGCAGTATCCTCAGCACACGCTGTTCTGAGACGTACGAGACTAAAACAGCACTGATGAGCCTGTTTGGAATCCCGCTGTGGTACTTCTCACAGTCGCCACGAGTCGTCATCCAGGTAAAACCTGTGAATGATAACCTGAAGCAGCATCATGCGTATCAGTAAATGCAACTTTTATTTAGCTCAAACCAATAGATAGAGGTGGATAGAGTCTTGCTATTGAAAGCATGTAGGTGATTTTCAACTAAAAAAAATATATTTTGTCCTAAGATGTAAGACACAGAAGATGTATGATGTGAATTTCTGTCTGCCTCACAGCCGGACATGTACCCAGGGAACTGCTGGGCGTTTAAAGGCTCCCAAGGTTATCTGGTGATCAGGCTCTCTTTAAGCGTGATCCCTACCTCCTTCTGCCTGGAGCATATTCCCAAAAGCCTCTCTCCTTCTGGAAACATCAGCAGCGCACCACGCCGATTCTCTGTCTATGTAATGCACACTTGTTTGTGTCTGATTTATGAGTGTGTACTTGCATATATTTATGCTTAATCCAATGAGTTTTTGTGTTAAGTGCTGGTGTATAATCCCATGTTGTGCAACGTGTAAGTCTTGCTGTCTGTATCCACAGGGATTGAATGATGAATACCAGGAGGAAGGGAAACTGCTGGGTGACTACACCTATGAAGAAGATGGATCATCACTCCAGATCTTTCCAGTTATGGTAAAATATGTACATACAGAATGAGCAGAATTGCAGAATCCAGTCATTAAAATAGAGTTTACTGTATAACATGGAATGTTTCATGATTTGGCCAAATTCTAATGAATAAGAAATTATGAAAGAAATTCTATATATTGCTATTTTACAATAGAATGTACTTCTCATAGTAAAAAAAACAAAACAATAATAATGATAATTTTTATTATTTTTTTAAAGGAATTTCACTCCTTTTTTCATCCTTGTTTTCATTTCAACCGTAAACCTCTGTTGTGCAGCACTTTGTTTGCCAAAAAATGAAAGGAATTGTTCAGTTGGTTTATATTTTAAAAGATTGATTCAATTGTTCAAATATTATGCATTCATTTTATTACCATTGTTTTTGATAATACATTTGTATTAACTCATAAAACTCAGAATCCAGAAAAATTAAAACGGACCAAAAAAAACCCCACACACATTTCATAGGGCACTATTATTGTTAACATTTTAGTAGATGATTCAATTGTTAAATCCTTATTGGTCAATAACATTTAATTGAACAAATCAAATGGAATAAAAAATTTTTTATTACAAATATAACAACATTTTGGAAAGAAATAAAATGAGGATTTCTCAAAAGGCAGGCAGCAACAGAAGAAAAATAGTGAGTTTCAATAGTGAGAAATTCAACCCACACACATTTCATAGGGCACTATTATTGTTAACATTTTAGTAGATGATTCAATTGTTAAATCCTTATTGGTCAATAACATTTAATTGAACAAATCAAATGGAATAAAAATTTTTTTATTACAAATATAACAACATTTTGGAAAGAAATAAAACGAGGATTTCTCAAAAGGCAGGCAGCAACAGAAGAAAAATAGTGAGTTTCAATAGTGAGAAATTCAGCATTGAATGTATCATTTTCAGGGAAAGCTATCCCAGCATGCATTGCAACAGGCTAGTAATAAAATCAAGTTTTATTAGCTTAGCCATATGCTGCTGTCAAACTATGTTGGAATAAATGGTGAATCGAGTCTTCAGTGCTCTTTATGTTCCACACCAGTCATTCAATTTTGTTTTAGTTCATATGCTGCTTACTAGCTTTTGGAATAGAGCTACAGTGAAATTCTGAGCACGTTTCACTTTGCTTTTTTTTCCAGGAGAAGAGCGACCAGGCCTTTCAGATCATTGAGATGCGAGTGCTGTCGAACTGGGGTCATCCCGAATACACCTGCCTGTATCGCTTCAGAGTTCACGGCAAACCTCACACTCCGTAATCAGGCCCGCTGTACATTACTATATAACCCTTTATGTACATACAGGAAACACTCGGTCTTTGACTCAGCACGGATGAGACTGGGCTTGCTAGACACATTTTTAAGACTCTAATACGAAACAGAGTTACAAGGAGCACAGCGGGAAGGATTCCCACTCATTTCCTTCGCGAGTCCCTGTTCTTGCACTGATTCATGCCCTTGCGGCTGGGCCCTGTGTTACGCTTCTGCCCCATACGCTCTCACCCGTAGAGGTATCTGTGCCTTCAGACAGAACACGCTTCTCTCATTCTGTGTACATTGTTTTTCCTTTGTTTTCTGAATGTACAGAGAGGAGTGAAGTCCAGCGGTCACTGCCGCTTTGAGGTGGCCGTCTGCTATAAGAGGGAATATTTGTGAGTTTATAAAACCTTTACAACCACTAAACCAGTTAAGCTCACCAAACCCAATGAGGATATGTCTGGGTCATGTTTTACCTCAAACCATTTACTGAATGAATCCTACTTTAGGGCTACTAAGACTTTTTTTGCATTGTGACATTATTATTTTCTTCAAAAATAAGCATTTTTCCTTAAAAAAAAGAGGCTAATTAAGATGAGCTTTCTCTTTACTGTAATGCAAAACATATGTATTATTTAAACCGTTTTAACTTTTTTAACATTGTGATTGCATTTGTTCTACTACTTCTTAAATTTGACTCATTTGAGTGTTTTTTTGTTTTATTTTAATACATTTAAAATATATATTGTAATACAGAAACTTTGCAATATTATTGAGAGTGGAAGTACATTAATAGTTTTAAAAATATCTATATTACTATAATATATATTATTATTTATATATTTTTTAAAGGGTGGAATATGACCCAGGCAAGTTTTCACCCAACAGACACTTCATTTCATGCTTTTTTTACATTAAGAAATAAACTCATAACAGCCATAAATTGCAGGAGACACTGGTTTGACCTCAGATGGTTTCTCCAGAGAAAGGAATGGATGTTTATGGACTGTATGTGAGCATGTGGACTAATATGTGAAAACTGGACATAAAACACTCACTTGTTTGTTTCTCTCGTCAGGAGTCATATCACAGTCATGATTCGCTGCAGGAATGTAACTTATTGTAATTAGACCTTTTTAATCGACTTATATCAGTGTTTATTTTACATAAAGGGGTTTGCCCCGTCATCATCTTTTTCCTTTTTTTTGTGTTTTTAAGCATTTTAGTTAAAGTAGACAATGCCGTTATGTCTTTATAAAGTAAATGTAAGTTGCACAAGTCCTGTGTGATTCATTGGATATGTTTGGAAAAGTCGGGTTCGTTTATTGAACCGTGTCGTCAACGCTGTGTTGACCTAAAAGAGTCTGTTTGTAAAATACTATGGATTTGTTCATGACTATTTATTTTATGGAAATTTAGCTAAGAGATGGCACTTTGTGCAGTGTGTTTTTGTAAAAATGCTTTTCGATGCATATTGGCCTGTTTATATTTAGTTCTTTTTTTGTTGTTGTTGTTGTTGTTATAAAATGGCTACAGTACTATGAATTGTGCCAGTAAAGAATTTTAATTTTGATGGTATTTGTATTGTTATTTTATTTATGTTTTAAAGGTTGAGGGGTTAAAATAAGTTCACCTAAAAAAAAATTTAAATAGTTTTATATTTTTAAAGTACGCTTTTTTATGGTGGAATGAATGGTCATACAAGTCTGGAAGCATTATGAATGATTAATTTTCAGTTGTAGATCATTTTCTGCTTTATGTAAGCTCATTTCTACTGCGGTTTCTGTATGACCCCAGTGATATTGCAGTGCAAATCTGCTCAAATCACATGACCAAGACATGTTTGAGTCTTAATCTTTCTATTTGCCAGCAGTCTAACACATGCAAGTAGCCAGTGATGGCCATCGTTTTGCTCCGCACCTTTTACATATTGCTCTTTTGTAAATTGCAGTCCCAACATGTTCCTGCATCTCAGTTCTGTGATTCCAAGAGAGGCTATAAAAAAACAATATCTTAAAATCAATTTATTAAAAATACATACTGTATGCATTTGTAAAGCAATTTGGTTTCTAACAAAAATGTTTAATGACATCTTATACCCTTCAAAAGATAATTGGGGGAACCTACAGAAAAGTCTAGGATAGACGCTTTTTTTAATAAAGCCTGCTATTTAGCATCTTTAAACCATATATGTTATATTTTATATTTTACTTTTTTCAGATAATGATTATTTTATTTCAAGTAACTACAATGTTTATGGTTTCAGTTTTCATTTAATGAACTTGAAGGATAGACAGACAGATGAAGGATAGACAGACAGATAGATGATAGACAGACAGATAGATAGATAGACAGACAGATAGATGATAGATAGACAGACAGATTGTAATACAGAAACTTTGCAATATTATTGAGAGTGGAAGTACATTAATAGTTTTAAAAATATCTATATTACTATAATATATATTATTATTTATATATTTTTTAAAGGGTGGAATATGACCCAGGCAAGTTTTCACCCAACAGACACTTCATTTCATGCTTTTTTTACATTAAGAAATAAACTCATAACAGCCATAAATTGCAGGAGACACTGGTTTGACCTCAGATGGTTTCTCCAGAGAAAGGAATGGATGTTTATGGACTGTATGTGAGCATGTGGACTAATATGTGAAAACTGGACATAAAACACTCACTTGTTTGTTTCTCTCGTCAGGAGTCATATCACAGTCATGATTCGCTGCAGGAATGTAACTTATTGTAATTAGACCTTTTTAATCGACTTATATCAGTGTTTATTTTACATAAAGGGGTTTGCCCCGTCATCATCTTTTTCCTTTTTTTTGTGTTTTTAAGCATTTTAGTTAAAGTAGACAATGCCGTTATGTCTTTATAAAGTAAATGTAAGTTGCACAAGTCCTGTGTGATTCATTGGATATGTTTGGAAAAGTCGGGTTCGTTTATTGAACCGTGTCGTCAACGCTGTGTTGACCTAAAAGAGTCTGTTTGTAAAATACTATGGATTTGTTCATGACTATTTATTTTATGGAAATTTAGCTAAGAGATGGCACTTTGTGCAGTGTGTTTTTGTAAAAATGCTTTTCGATGCATATTGGCCTGTTTATATTTAGTTCTTTTTTTTTTGTTGTTGTTGTTGTTATAAAATGGCTACAGTACTATGAATTGTGCCAGTAAAGAATTTTAATTTTGATGGTATTTGTATTGTTATTTTATTTATGTTTTCAAGGTTGAGGGGTTAAAATAAGTTCACCTAAAAAAAAATTTAAATAGTTTTATATTTTTAAAGTACGCTTTTTTATGGTGGAATGAATGGTCATACAAGTCTGGAAGCATTATGAATGATTAATTTTCAGTTGTAGATCATTTTCTGCTTTATGTAAGCTCATTTCTACTGCGGTTTCTGTATGACCCCAGTGATATTGCAGTGCAAATCTGCTCAAATCACATGACCAAGACATGTTTGAGTCTTAATCTTTCTATTTGCCAGCAGTCTAACACATGCAAGTAGCCAGTGATGGCCATCGTTTTGCTCCGCACCTTTTACATATTGCTCTTTTGTAAATTGCAGTCCCAACATGTTCCTGCATCTCAGTTCTGTGATTCCAAGAGAGGCTATAAAAAAACAATATCTTAAAATCAATTTATTAAAAATACATACTGTATGCATTTGTAAAGCAATTTGGTTTCTAACAAAAATGTTTAATGACATCTTATACCCTTCAAAAGATAATTGGGGGAACCTACAGAAAAGTCTAGGATAGACGCTTTTTTTAATAAAGCCTGCTATTTAGCATCTTTAAACCATATATGTTATATTTTATATTTTACTTTTTTCAGATAATGATTATTTTATTTCAAGTAACTACAATGTTTATGGTTTCAGTTTTCATTTAATGAACTTGAAGGATAGACAGACAGATGAAGGATAGACAGACAGATAGATGATAGACAGACAGATAGATAGATAGACAGACAGATAGATGATAGATAGACAGACAGACAGATGATAGATAGATAGACAGACAGATAGATTGATCATAGACAGACAGACATGGATGATAGATGACAGACAGACAGATGATAGATAGATAGACAGATAGATAAATGACAGACAGATAGATAGATCATAGACATACAGACATAGATGATAGATGACAGACAGATAGATGACAGATAGATAGATAGATAGATTGATGATAGACAGACAGATAGATAGATCATAGACAGACAGACATAGATGATAGATGACAGACAGATAGATGATAGACAGATAGATTGATGATAGACAGACAGATAGATAGATGATAGACAGACAGACAGATAGATGATAGACAGACAGATAGATGATAGACAGACAGATAGATAGATGACAGACCGACAGATAGATAGACAGACAGATAGATAGACAGATAGACAGATAGATGATAGACAGACAGATAGATAACAGACCGACAGATAGATAGACAGACAGACAGATAGATAGATGGACAGACAGATAGATGACAGACCGACAGATAGATAGATAGCTAGATTGATGATAGACAGACAGACAGATAGATAGATAGCTAGATTGATGATAGACAGACAGACAGATAGATAGATAGCTAGATTGATGATAGACAGACAGACAGATAGATAGATAGCTAGATTGATGATAGACAGACAGACAGATAGATAGATAGCTAGATTGATGATAGACAGACAGACAGATAGATAGATAGATCGATAGATGGACAGACCGATAGATGGATGGACAGACAGATAGATAGATAGATAGATAGATAGATGGACGGACCGACAGATAGATAGATAGACGGACGGACAGACAGATAGATAGATAGATGGACGGACAGACAGATAGATAGATGGACGGACCGACAGATAGATAGATAGATAGATAGATGGACGGACAGACAGATAGATAGATGGATGGACGGACCGACAGATAGATACAGTGGGTACGGAAAGTATTCAGACCCCCTTAAATTTTTCACTCTTTGTTATATTGCAGCCATTTGCTAAAATCATTTAAGTAAATTTTTTTTTCCTCAGATGACAGACAGACAGACAGATGATAGATAGACAGACAGATAGATAGATAGATAGACAGACAGACGGACAGATAGATAAATGACAGACAGATAGATAGATCATAGACAGACAGACATAGATGATAGACAGACAGACAGACAGATAGATGATAGACAGACAGACAGATAGATAGATAGATTGATGATAGACAGACAGATAGATAGACAGACAGACAGATAGATGATAGACAGACAGATAGAT